TTTTTTTTTTTTTTTTTTCACTTCTAATTTTCTTTTTAAGTAAATTCGAAGCAAAAATTTGACTTGACACCCCAAGATTTGCCTGCTGTTTTGTTGGAAGTTTTATTTTTTACTTTTCGAAATCAAATTATTTGAATTTGCCCTCTAACTTGAGGCATGATTTTGCAGTTAATATCGGGCGCATGGCGATTGAAGGATTGGATTTTGATGCAGACACTGAACACGAGCGTGTTGATGAGCAAAGCAGTCAGCTGAATCACTAAAATCTTCTCGACACATATGTACGCGCTTTGTATACCATTTTTGCTCCTTGAGTGCAATTTTCAGATAATATGGGTGGTGGTTTTACAACTATTTACATGCATTAGTGTAACTAAATCAACAAATATGCTGGGCGTGAATTTTATTTTGAAGTCTACTTAGCCATCCAATATTGCATTATTCCCTTGTGGTTGATGGAAAGTAAATAAGCCAAAATTTGTGTTTGTAAATAATAAAAGAAGAGGAAAAAAGTAAGAAAATGCACGTATCAAGCCATAAGAAAATAAAACGAGCAGAATTTATCTCGCAGCTTGACTCAGAGTCTGCAGATAAGTATTATTACCCTCTTGTAGGGAGATTACAGTTTCAAAAGCTCCCACGAGAACTTTAACCTTACTTTTCCTACTCTTAACGAGCTTACTTGCAGTTTGCTCGATAACATTGTTAAATAATAAACCTTGATGACCTTTCTGCTTCCCCTGTACATCATCCCGGTGCTTTAAGACAACCTTTTCAGATAAACCTCCTCACAAGTCTTTCTATCACTAACAGTAACAGCAGCCTTTTCGAATAATTTCCTCATATCATTTTTCCTTTCATCAGCTGCAGCTCCTATGACTCACTGTCCTAAATCCGACTCTACTCTGAACATTACTGTTATTCGACTGAGCATCCACGACTTTCTCATTTCTGAATTTCAGCTTCATGGGAGACCGAGTTTCGTAATCTTCAGCCACTTATTAGTTATTATAAAATCGCAAGATTTGAGATTAAATACTGAAATATTATTTCAGAATATCTTCAGTTATATATACAAAAGCCCATATTTTGAAACTATCATATTATTATGATAGTGAAACTCTCATATTTTGAAACTATCATATTCTGAAATATTATTTCAAAATATGTTAATTAATTGAAGCTACTTATGATAATCAGCCGAACTTGTTAAAGCTCAAAAATATTTTCTTTTTTATGTAATATTCTATAGTTCGTCTCAATCATATTGATAAAAGAGTCAAGCTGAACCTCGTTTATCAATTCGTCTTGGCTAGATAAAAGCTCAAGTCTGAGTTTTAGTATTATGAGCTCGAATTTGGCTCGACTCGTTTATTTTTCTACCATGTGCCTTTTTACTTGAATAGTTTTGTTGTTCGGTGGTCTTAACGATTATACCGGCATAAAATATCCAACTTTCTTTAGGGTATGTTTGGTTCAAAGGAGGGAGGGGAGGGAATTTAATGGAAGGGAGGAGAGGGGAGGGGAGGGGAAGGGAGGGAAAATAATTTATCTTGTTTGGATGGATTTTGTAGGAGGAGAGGTGAAGGAAAATGATTAACTTTGTTCGGTTAGAAGATGGAAGGGGAGGGAAAATAATATTAGAATGACACATATATGCTTAATGATGTAAAGAACAAAAAAAATAAAATAATTCACAGTAAGGTCAAAAGAGTAATTTGTTGTTAAAATTTTCCCTCTCCTCCAAATTCCCTTCACTTTTGGGGGGAGCACATTTCCCTTGGAGGAGGGAATTGAAGGGAAAATTCAAATCCCTCCCCCCTTACAAAAACTTGAACCAAACAAGGGGGAAATAAAAATTTCCCTCCCCTCCCTTCCCCTCCCCTCCGTTTCCCCCGAACCAAGCATAGGCTAAAATCCTCCCTATATATAATTTCCGAATGCGCTGAGCCTACGTGGCTGCTTCTGGTGCTTCGAAATCCTATTTGGCGAAGAATCATGCTTCGTAATTATGTTTGGACAAATAATATTGATATATTAATAATTAATAATCTAGGTTCGGGTATTCCATAAATATTTTTTAGCTAACTTAGGTATTTTAATATCACTTTTACTAATATAACCCTTTAATTCTTTGTAATTTTACACAGTGAGACACTAAGTGACTAATATATCCCTGAATTTTGATTTGTTTCCTTCAATAAGCTATTGAATTATAAATGTATTTTAAAAGTTGATAACTTTCGTATTTCTTATCGGTTTTACATATATAATATATCAAATTAATCATCTTTTGATGATCTTCGATTTGACATCCATATTGTATATATGAAATAAATAAATTATATTTATCTTTATAATAATAAAAAATAATATTATTTATTAAAATTCATTAGAAAAATAAAATTATTTCTCAATTGATATATTTATATTTAATGTAGTTATATATTGTAAGTTAAAAAAATTAGTATAATATAACACAAGTAAGTCGCATAAATAAAAAGTGTCCTAATAAACATATAATAATATATATATATTATTATAAAAGGTATTTAAATTTTCAAACTACTTATTCTCATTAATTTTAAATTTTAAGAAAAAATTAGTAAGCACAATGTAATACACGGGTGTTGTACTAGTACATCATACTTTAAAAAATAATACGAATCAAAATATGTCATCTAAGAGTACAGTTATGCATTTTAGTTCGTCGAATATGAGTCGACCCACCTAACGAATACATTGTATTACATACACACATTGTTTAACACTTTAACTAGTCTCTCGCCGAGTCGGCCAGATTGACCCGTTGGGCCGCTACGGTTTGAAAAACTATGGAATTACCTAAAAAAATTATAGTATCAATGGTGCAACAATGCCAATTCAACTTCCCAGTACATAGTTTGTTCATTTGAATGGCTAAATAGTAAATACTGTCAGCTTATGCATCTTTTTTACTAAACCATATTATTATTATTTTTTTCCAAGAAAAGAAAAAACAACTGTATATAGTTATGTACAAAAAATTTACCAGATGTTTATGCATGATAATATTAACTTCCATCATTTTTTACGGCCGGAGACAGTTTTCTTGACGGCTCCAACCGAGACCAAGAACTGATCGAGAGACGAAAGAGTCCTCATATCATCTGGCGGGAAATAGCTGGCGGCCTTTCCGAGTAGTGATGCGAAAAGTAGGGAAAAAGAAGGCCCCTTGATGTATTTTTCGCCAAGAAGGTCATCGAGAAATGCGAATGCTGCCAAAAATTCGGATCTGTTTGCATTAATCGGGCCTGCAAAATGAGCAGGGATTATCCGCTTGAACCTCCAGTCCCTTGTAATTCGGTCGATCCAATCTCTAACCTGAAAATTTACCAGCAAACCACCGAAAGGTGCATTAGTATGCAACTAGGATTATACCACTCGAATTTCACAAATGTTGTTGTTCGGTTGATTAACCGTTACTAATTATTATTATTATAAAGTATGACATTTGAGTATGAAGTTATGTATGTACGTTGGAAGTGTATTTAAGCAGCCTAACAGTATAACTAGCGCTTGTTAAGGCTGTGTTTGGTTGTGTTTTGTAAGCATATTATTCAGTCCTGTATTCAAATAAACTTTGCTCGGTAGAATGAGCTTTTTGAAAAAGTTCAAACTTATCTCATAAGCTTTATTGAGTAGCTTTTCAAATAAGCCAACGGAATTTTTCGTATCATCTTCAAATAAGCCAATTGAATTTTTTTGTATCAGCTACCTAGCTTATCAGCTAATTTTACCAAATACTTTTATTATATAAGTTAGTTTTTCAGGCATAAGTCATAAGCTATTAGCTAAAAGCTCGAAATTCACTTGAAAGCTATAAGTTAGCTTACCAACTAGGTTTACCAAACACAGAAGTTAACTTCTCGATTAAGTAACTAAACAAGTAAGTGGCTAATAGTGCAGCTTTCAAACACCAACTTCTGCATCTCTGATTATGGGTTCTTTTAGATTCTTGAATCAACTTCTGGTTTTAGTTTCATAGAGAAATAACCATTTTGACATCTGCATTTTTAACACTCTTTCAACTATCTCAACTTTAACTTCTACTTTGCAAGTAAATGATGCCACAAAGTGATAAGCATACAAATGATAAAAATGGTAATGCAAATACACAGCTTCTATGAACTTCGTGCATTAATGGAAACCAAAACTTGCCTTTTCAGGAACTTTGCTGAAAACAAGCGTCTTCACAATGGGTGAGACGATAAGCTTTTGTGACATCTGAGAAAAACTCGCGTTTGGTTCCAACAGATTCGAGGGGCCAAGGAACAAAATCTGGAGGACCATTCTTTCCCATCCTACACTCGTTCAATAAAATGGATAACACTCAACTTAATAGTAATAATAAAAATAAAAGAGGTTCGGGAGCAAGTCTTGAATTGAATTAGAGGGCATTACATTACATTACATTACCCTTTTGTCTGTTCAGTTTGTTGTCAACAACTGGTTCTTCGGGGACTTTTTTCCCTTTACTAAGAATTTTTACGGCCAAACCATTCTTAGCAGACGATATTAAAGATTCTTTGCTAATACACTCGGGTGGCTGCCTTGGAACATATATCACTGCATCCGTTACGAGTAGGGTCCTCGTCCGCTTATGATAGAATGCCACCTCAACATATGGTCCGATTCCTTAATCGTTAAACAAACAGGGAAGGAACATTTTTAGAATATTCAAATTTATAACAACAGATGAAAAAAATAAAAAAGGTAATCAATGGATTACCAACTTCAGGTGAGCTCAAGACTTTCTGTTCGATTTCATCAGCCCATGGGGCTAATGAGTCCTCATCTTGCAATGTTTTGGCTCGAAAAATCCCAAAAAATTGGAGGGGTAAGTTCAAGGGCCAACTCCACTGCCGAGGTGCAACCCACACCTGAGCTTTCGGAAACTTTCTTGAAAAGGGTCCGACAAATATTTTATGCTCGTAAGCAAACGTGGGTAGGATTATATACTCCACAGGAGCGCCTAGTTCTTTCACAAGCTGCAAAAAGTACGTACGAAATGTTACAAAAGCAGCGATATGTGCATGCACTGAATATTTGTCATGAATCACTTAATAAGCAATATAAGCCCACGTTTGGTTAAGCTAGCTGATAAGCTAGCTTATAGCTTATTAGTAATTTTCGAGCTCATAGCTTATAACTTATCACTAATTTTCGAGCTTATAGGTTATGACTTATGACTTATAGCTGAACAGCTAGCTTATAAGATAAAAATGTTTGATAAAATTAGCTGATAAGTTAGCCGAAATAAAAATTTCAACGAGCTTATTTGAAAAAGTACCTAAAGAAGCTTATGAGATAGGCTCGAGCTTTTAAAAAAAGCTCGTCCTATCAAACGAAGCTTATTTAAATAAAGGAAGCTTATAAGCTAACCAAATAAGATATAAGCTAGCTTATTTGTCTACCAAACATAGCCTAAGTAAATTGCACATACTATTTTATTTTAATGAAATATGGCCGCAATTTTTCTACTTTGATCACCTGGAGGCACTCTTTGGTAGGAGCAATAGGGGCATGAACCCATAATCCTCCGGATTTCAGCTTGATAACCGTCATTCGGATGTTTGTCGACACACTGCTGAAACCCAGTGCCTGCTCTTGTTCGAACAGCCATATGCTGTCCTTCACAGCCTAGAACTCAAATAGATAAAACAGTTACAAACTCCAACAAAAGAACAAAAGAACAAAAGAACATAAACATGGTATTTTACGGGGAAGCATGTGCTACGCTAAACTAAACAGTCACTAAAGCATGGTATTTTACGGGGAAGCATGTGCTACGCTAAACTAAACAGTCACTAAAGCAGTTAAGCAAGGCTAAATTTCCCCTCTTCTTGTACTAACATACTTGAATGAAAGGTTCCTGATCAAGTAGTAATAGGTGTAAAAGGCTAAAAATGTATGATGAATAGGTCATCTATCACCACTTTGTTGTCCAAGTTCAAATGAATTCAGTACTATAATACTCCACCATACATATCTTACTGCAAAGATTGCAACTTTTTAGATAGGGAAATGCTAAGGTCCCATTACGGAATCATTTCGTCCCGTTAGATTATCATGTAACCCCGTCAGAGATAATTGATCTAACAGTTACAAACCCCGACGAATCGGTTCCGTAACGGGACAGTAACATCTTCCTTTTAGATAAACCTCCAATACTTGAACAGGGATTTAGTTTCCATGAACTTCAAATGCACAAGATCCCACACAACAAAATCCAAAATTATGTACAGGGTCTCATCAACTGCTATTTTTTCAGTGAAAATTGAGCTTCATCAGAACAATTAATATCATACCCATTACCACCTGACTAATACCGAAAAAAATCACATGACCTGAATCGAAGTACTAACCTCGTATCTAATGGTGCGGCGATTTAGGAAAGGGCCGAGAGGAAACGGAAATCCAGTGAAATTGAAATAAAACCTTCCTCCGCCGGTGGCTTCGCCGCCTGCGGCTGCGGCGGCAACCACCAAACCTACTCCTTTTTTGTCCTTTCTTCTCATGGATTTCACTTCGACGCAGAGACCCCTCACCGGTGAGCCACTGAGGAAACTGCATTTCAGGTCGCGATGAGCTAAGGAAGAAGAAGAAGAAGAATTTGGTGAAGGAACGGCCATGGCGGCCGCCATTTTTATTTTCTTTTCCTTTTATCTCGTCCAGGAATTAAACTGAGCAAGCTCGTAACTCAGGATAAGAATAAATAATTGAATTAAATCTACCTCTATCTTATAAGAAAACCACATAACCCTTTTATTTGCCGACACGTGGCTGCTTTCTATGCTCTCCATTTGAGATTAAACAACATCGTTTGGTTTTTTTTTTTTTTTTTTTTTTTTTTT